AATACTGGGATCATATATTCTCAGGAGCCAAGAAGTCTTGAAAGAATAAGAAAAGTAACGAAGTCTTTTGAAGGTCATAAGAAAAATACCAAAGAATTAATTCTGTGGTATATATTATGAGGAAATATATTCAGGAAGAAAGTTGTGGGTGGTGAAATACACTCATGAATAAAACTTAAGGAAGTGGAGAGTATTTGATGTCGCAAATATTCTTGTTTTATTATAGAGACAGAGGCAATTTTGTTCATACTTGGTTATCTTGTGTGTCTTCAATAAAGATCACTGTTATATCTTTCCGAGGTTTTGTCTGAATACCGATATACATGCTGAAAGTTACAACTTCCTTAAGATTTGTCCAAGAGTGTATCTTTAAGAGTTATTGTCTGAATTCCGATATACATGCTAAAAGATACAACTTCCTTAAGTTCTGTCCTTGAGTGTATCTTTCAGAGTTGTTGTCTGAATTCCGATATACATGCTAAAAGATACAACTTCCTTAAGTTTTGTCCATGAGTGTATCTTTCAGAGTTAGTGTCTGAATCCCGATATACATGCTAAAAGTTACAACTTCCTTAAGTTTTTTCTATGAGTGTATCTTTCAGAGAGTTATTGTCTGAATTCCGATATACATGCTAAGAGGTACAACTTCCTTAAGTTTTGTCCATGAGTGTATCTTTCAGAGTTATTGTCTGAATCCCGATATACATGCTAAAAGGTACAACTTCCTTAAGTTTTGTCCATGAGTGTGTCTTTCAGAGTTATTGTCTGAATTCCGATATACATGCTAAAAGGTACAACTTCCTTAAGTTTTTTCTATGAGTGTATCTTTCAGAGTTATTGTCTGAATTCCGATATACACGCTAAGAGGTACAACTTCCTTAAGTTTTGTCCATGAGTGTATCTTTCAGAGTTATTGTATGAATCCCGATATACATGCTAAAAGGAACAAATTCCTTAGGTTTTGTCCATGAGTGTATCTTTCAGAGTTATTGTCTGAATACCGATATACATGCTAAAAGGTACAACTTCCTTAAATTTTGTCCATGAGTGTGTCTTTCAGAGTTATTGTCTCAATCCCGATATACATGCTAAAAGTTACAACTTCCTTAAGTTTTGTCTATGAGTGTATCTTTCAGAGTTATTGTCTGAATTCCGATATACATGCTAAGAGGTACAACTTCCTTAAGTTTTGTCCATGAGTGTATCTTTCAGAGTTATTGTATGAATCCCGATATACATGCTAAAAGGAACAGATTCCTTAAGTTTTGTCCATGAATGTATCTTTCAGAGTTATTGTCTGAATCCCGATATACATGCTAAAAGGTTCAACTTCCTTAAATTTTGCCCTTGAGTGTATCTTTCAGAGTTATTGTATGAGTCCCGATATGCATGCTAAAAGGAACAAATTCCTTAAGTTTTGTCCATGAGTGTATCTTTCAGAGTTATTGTCTGAATACCGATATACATGCTAAAAGACACTGAAAATTTGCCAACATGCATTGTCATCGGATTCTTAAAAGTGTACCAAATTTCTGATTCCTACGTGTACTAGAATTATATTAAAAATTGATTACAAGATTTGTGGACAGATAGACAGACGAACAGACAGGGAAGCAAGTTAAATAAAAGCTTTTTAAACAATATGCATCTCCCTTTATAAAAATGCATACAAAGAGCTGTATCCTTCAATCTGTTCGGAACGTTTAGATACAAAACAATAAAAAGGCCACTATATCAGTATTTTAGGCTTTTATTGAAAGGAAAAGTTTTTCAAGCGGTCAGATAGATTAAATTAACGAAATCATTGGGAGGGGTTTCCACTGATGAGCCAAGCCCTTCCAATATTTTACTCATCACAGTAAGGTCAGTAAAAGTTTGCCTTATTTGAAAAAGAAAAATTCTCATTCTTAATGATTGCATTTATTTTATATAATTGTCGCTTTATTGCCTTATTTGATGATTAACTGGCCTTGTACTTATTGTTAACGGAAGAAGAGCATTGCTCGATGCAAATTTGTATATAATTCTACTGTCCTTAGAGCTTATTTCCTCATATATTAGTGTAGCATATAAAAGCAGAATGATCCAATACAGTATTAGAGCTCTAAAGAAGCGGTCTGGTAGATTAAATTGGAGAAACCGCTGGGAGAGTTCACCCCTGATGAACCAAGCTCTCCCAATATTTTCATCGCAGTAAGGTAACAGTAGAAAAGATACAGTTTCTCCCTAATAGTTGTATTTCTTATATATAGATGGCGATTTATTGTCTTATATTTAATTTATTCAACTAACTGTGTCCCTTTTATTTGCGGAAGAGCATTGCTCGATGCAAATATTTATATGTAATTCTAATGTCTTAAAATCATAAGTTTATTTTTTAATCCCTAGTACAAGTGGTACAGGCCATGATTATTATGATGAGTAGTCGGCGACTGCTTTTACTGTAAGTACACCTCATGTCTACATATGTGAAAAGCAGTTCGACTTTGCACTTGCAAATATGCCAGAGCCCCGTTTGGTTACTTGCACTCGCTGTTGGGATTGTACTTTTGTAAAAATTTGGGGCCATTGGAGCATTTTTTTTAATTAGAAAAAAGTGCTCAATACGAGAATCGAACATGGGTCGCTGCGGTCGAAAACCAACGGTTTAGACCAATATTATTTACCATAATAGCTGTCCTAAAAGCTTATGTCCATAGTTTACTTAAATAACATTTCTATGATTCAACCCTTCAGTGTAGCATATGAAGGCAGAATGATCCAATACAGTATCAGAGCTCTAAGAAGCAGTCTGGTAGATTAAATTGGTGAAACCGCTGGGAGGGTTTGTAATTCTACTGTCCTAAAAGCTTATGTCCATAGTTTACTTAAATACCATTTCTAAGATTCCACCCTTCAGTGTAACATATATAAACAGAATGATCCAATACAGTATTAGAACTCTAAAGAAGCGGTCTGGTAGATTGAGAGAATTGGTGAAACTGCTGGGAGGGTTTGTAATTCTACTGTCCTAAAAGCTTATGTCCATAGTTTACTTAAATAACATTTCTATGATTCAACCCTTCAGTGTAGCATATGAAGGCAGAATGATCCAATACAGTATCAGAGCTCTAAGAAGCAGTCTGGTAGATTAAATTGGTGAAACCGCTGGGAGGGTTTGTAATTCTACTGTCCTAAAAGCTTATGTCCATAGTTTACTTAAATACCATTTCTAAGATTCCACCCTTCAGTGTAACATATATAAACAGAATGATCCAATACAGTATTAGAACTCTAAAGAAGCGGTCTGGTAGATTGAGAGAATTGGTGAAACTGCTGGGAGGGTTTGTAATTCTACTGTCCTAAAAGCTTATGTCCATAGTTTACTTAAATACCATTTCTAAGATTCCACCCTTCAGTGTAACATATATAAACAGAATGATCCAATACAGTATTAGAACTCTAAAGAAGCGGTCTGGTAGATTGAGAGAATTGGTGAAACTGCTGGGAGGGTTTGTAATTCTACTGTCCTAAAAGCTTATGTCCATAGTTTACTTAAATACCATTTCTAAGATTCCACCCTTCAGTGTAACATATATAAACAGAATGATCCAATACAGTATTAGAGGTCTAAAGAAGCGGTCTGGTAGATTGAGAGAATTGGTGAAACCGCTGGGAGAGTTCACCACTGATGAACCAAGCCCGTCTAATATTTTTCACCGCAATAAGGACAGAAGTTTGATTTATTAAAAAAAAATACATTTTTGTTCTTAATAGTTGTATTTTTAAAATATAGATGGCGTGTTTAACCTTATATTTAATTTACATATTTATGTATAAATAGCATTTTGAAAAATGATTCATTTTATGACGATAAATTTGCAATTATTGTTTCCATGAAAACCTAATTATAGTTTAAAATTTTTAATATATGATAAATTAATAATATTGTTTATATATATTTTATGTTATTTAAATCATCTTACCAATTAATATCTTCACAAAGGTAATTTTTATATACGCATATTATTTTTTAAAGAAATATATATTGCAAACCTATATTTGATAGAGTTTTTTTTTATTATCCTTAGTACACATGGTACAGGCCATGATAATCATAGTGGGTAGTTAGCAACTGCTTTTACTGTAAGTGTACCACATGGTACAGGCCATTATAATCATGGTGGGTAGTTAGCGACTAATTTTACTGTAAGTACACCACATGTCTACACATGGTACAGGCCATTATAATCATGGTGGGTAGTTAGCGACTAATTTTACTGTAAGTACACCACATGTCTACACATGGTACAGGCCATTATAATCATGGTGGGTAGTTAGCGACTACCTTTTGTGTAAGTACACCAAATGTCTACACATGGGCAGGCCATTATAATCATGGTGGGTAGTTAGCAACTACTTTTACTGTAAGTACACCACATGTCTACACATGTGAAAATCAGTTATTTGATAGTCATATGAACCAAAATATGACCATTTTAATATGATAATATTCATCATTTTTCTATTGATTTATACAAATATGTATATATACTATTAATATATTGGGGGTCGGTGGAAAGATGGTCTAAACCGTTGGTTTTCGACTGCTACGACCTGGGTTCGATTCCCGCATTGAGCACTTTTTTTCTGATTAAAAAATAAATGCTCCAATGTCCCTCGATTCTTTCAATAGTCCAACCCCACCAGCGAGTGCAAGTAACCGAACGGGGCTCTGGTACATTTGTAAGTGAAAAGTCGAACTGCTTTTCACATGTGTAGACATGTAGTGTACTTACAGTAAAAGCAGTCGCCTACCTCTACCCACCATGCTTATCGTAGCCTGTACCACGTGTACTAGGGATAAGTAAAAAATATATATATTGAAGGCATGTTTTGTAAATATATTCTTCAGAATAAATTTCCTTCAAAGAATCATATGAATTTTCGTTCTACAATCATTAGCCGCTTTATATGGTATTATAAAATACATTATATAATATTTACGAAAGGAAAAATATGTCCAGGTTTTCCTAGTGGAAATGGCATCTGCCCGGTAAGCGGAACACTGTGCGTTCGATTCCCATCCCTGGACACTTTATTTTTCCGTTTATCATTACCCTTCACAATTCATCCTCTCATATCTCATCCCTAAGGTTAGAAATAATCGTTATTTCTCCTTAAAAATAAATTACGATTTTCCGTTCAAAAGAAAGACATGCGGGATAATTTTCAAATTTCGTTCTACAATTATAAGCCGCATTATATTTTATTATATTGAAGATATGTTTTGAAATACACTGGTGTCCAAAAAATAAGAAACTTAACCAATATTGAAATTTCTCAAAAGCTAATTCATTAACAAATATAAAATTTAGTATACAAATAGTTTAAAATACAATATAACGCAGCTGATGATTGTAAAACGAAAATTAAAATTATACCGCGAATGTTTCTTTTAAAAATCGAAATTTATTTAAATAGTTTAAACTATGGAGAATTTGACTAGCTATATGAAAATTAAAAAAAATATTTGAAATTATGAAATATGCAAATTATTACCAACATACCCAAAGGCAACGATGAGCGCCGCCCCTATCGCCCCCGTTGGGCCAGTGCCCAGGCCTGTCCAAATGAGAGGCCTCTGTGTAACCAGAACCAAGTTACACCTGTACATGGCAGTGGGTCTGGCCCTGCTTCAGCCCTTCATCACCTGGAACTTCATCCTGATGCCCAAGAAAGAGGCCAAGATGAAATACAACACGAGCTACAATGGCCAGACGGAGTGGGAGCGTATGAAGAGACTGGGTCTATTCCAGGCTGTGGCCCCAGACGACAAGGTCAAATGGGTGCCTGAGATTGATGGATAAGGACCACCACCACCTAGCTACGACAGAATAGCTGAGCCTTAATAAATCTATCCCGCCATCTATCCCAAAGCTAAGGTTCCAGATCTTAAAGAAATAAGATATCAATAGGGAGTATGATCACCTCTAGCAGCTATCAAGGTCTCACAGCGAGCCTCAAACTGTTAACCAGGCTTTGGAGGAGGTGCAGGGGTAGTAAACCCCACTCCTCCAATAGAGCAGTTCTTTGCTCAACGAGGGTTCTGGGAGAGGGGTGACGAGCTCCAATATGCCTCCCTAGAGCATCGCACACATGCTCTATTGGATTCAGGTCCGGAGATCTGGCTGGCCAATCCATCCTTCGAATATTCTCACTCTGGAGATATTCATTGACTAGCCTAGCCCTATGCGGACGAGCATTATCGTCCATAAAAATTAAATTGTGACCAATTTGATCTCTATAAGGTCTTAGATAGGGCTCAAGGATCTCGTCCCTGTACCTTTGGGCAGTTAAAGTGCCCCATGAAAAAATGTGGAGGGGTGTGCGTCTGCTAGAACTGATGCCAGCCAAGACTAAGAGACTGCCCCCTCTAAAACTGTCTATTTTCCTGATATTACTTGGATGATAGCGGGTTCCAGGCTCCCTCCAGATGAAAACTCGTCGAGAATCTGTGTTTAAACTAAATCTTGACTCGGCACTGAAGAGAACATTGGCCCACTGATCATGAGTCCAGGCGTGTGGTTCCAAGCACCAATTCAAGCGGGCTCTCCTGTGAGCAGAGGTTAAAGGGATACAGACCATTGGTCGTCTTGTATAAAGAGCACCTTCGTGAAGCCTTCGGTAAACAGTTTGTCTTGAAATTCTCCTTCCAGTAGCACTTGAGAGTTCATTAGAGAGTTGAATAGCTGTCATCTCCCTATGGCGCTTGGCAGTTACGACCAGATAACGGTCTTCAGAGGTAGCTGTTTTTCTTTTTCTACCAGAACCTTCTTTTCTTTTGATTGTTCCTGTCTCAATAAACTGTTTCCATATTTTGCTGGCCACAGATTTATTCACATTTAGCCATTTTGCTACTTCAACTTGTGATTGCCCTGCCTCCATTCTTCCAACAGCTCTCCATTTTAAATCATCTGCTAAAATTTTTCGTAAACTCATAATTAACTAAGGATTAAATAAAATTATAATTGGACAATTCTTAGATGGGGTAAACGACACGCCAAATAGTACACTTATAGAGACAAGCAAAAATTTGCATATTTTCAATTTTACCGAATCGAATGGTTGCGATAAATAAATTCTACGACTTAAAATGCCTAATTAAATTACTTTTTAGCGTTGTATATTTTAAAACATATCATTGAAAAACAAAAGTTTCTTATTTTCTGGATACCAGTGTATATTCTTCAGAATAAAATTTCTTTAAAGTATGATATTAGTGTTTCCTACAGCTTTATACATATTCCTTGCTTCCTTACTTATGTCCTAGAGGTCTATATATATATATTTTTTGTCCTCTCATTAGATATATATTTTAAAATGTGTGTCTTCATTTTTATAATAGTTAATATAAATTATTTGTATATTTATTGAATTCTTATAAAATTAAGTAAAATAGTATCCGATTATATTTAACTCGTGTTCTATTGGCGAATCATTATACCAGGTTATCTCCTCTACCCATGGTAATACTCTAGTTCCCCAGTAAGCCCTTCTCTCCCCCATGACACAATGTAAATAACATTGCTGATTATTGTAACTATTGTATATACCCTCTTCTACTTGGTGAAGCTGTATAAGACCAAAGGGTCATAACAGGGACTTTTGTTGTTGTTATTACTGTTATTCCTGTATGTACCCTACATTTCTGTGCTTGGAGAATCTGTATAAGACTAAAATGTCTTAATAAAGATTTTTGTTGTTGTTGTTGTTTTCTCCTGTAGAAAGACGACCGTCCCCGAAAGCTAGAGAATACAAAAAATAAAAAGATACTTTTCCTTCGAGGCCTGATATATTTTACTTATGAAAAAAACAATTGAAAAAGACTTAGTTTCTCAAGAAGCCTCTGGGACCAAAAATCTTTTTGTTAGCAATGGTACATCCTACTTCACGCTGACGAGCGCCTAACAGCGGGAAACGCGTTCGTGGATGGCTTATCTTGATTTATCAAAAAATTAGGTTGGCCAAATATCAGGGAACAGTTTAAATCAATGTTTAGTTGATTTCTGTAACACTAGATGGCGCTCTGCCATTTGAAAAGCACATGTACTCCTGGTCAGGATATGCCTACTTTGTTTTTTAATATTTTACTCAATATTAATACAAGGAATTTTTTCATTAAAAATAAAAAGTCGGTGAAGGAGTGGGTAACACCCTCGATTCCCGACAGCCATGAACCGGGATTAAATCCCACATTAACATTTTGTTCAATATGTGAATAACCTTTACATATTATTCATTGTTGCAAATATCATAAACTAGGTTGTTATTTTTGAACGGTAACTAATATAGTGATTCTGAACCGAAAAATATATATCTTATATAAAGAAAAGAGATTTTCTGCTTGATTTTTAATTATGTTGAGGATTATGGTAATGGTGATGCAGTCGTGGTTAAAATTCTTGAAATAAAATCAGTTATCAAAAATAGCTTTAATAGAGCTTATGGAATATATAAAAACATAATAAGAGTAAAAGTACTGCCTGTGTCTGTGTGTGTGTGTGGCTTAAGGCGTAAGAATAAAAAATGAAAAGATTATTTACATAATGTACAAAAGTTTTGAGCCAGCCAGCGTGAAAGAACAACAACGAAATTTTATAGGTGAAGCATGACCTCTGGCGGTCGATATAACAGAGTATTTGGATCTATGAAAATATGATTTTAAATAAAATAATATTTTTATATAACATATATATATTTCATGAAATAAAATTTACATTATAATAATTTTATAAAGGGTCTCTATCATAATGGACTCTTAATTTTTGAAATTCTAATTCTATATTTAGAATTCTACAGATCTTATTACTGTTATGTAATTAAAGTAAGTAAGAAGGACGTAACCAATTTAACATTACATATTATTTATTATTAATAGCGATTATATGAAACAAATCTTGGTATATATGTCTACATGAAAACAACAAAAAACGATAAATATTATATTCCTACACACAAAAACATAAAAACCTTTATTAAGGAACAAGCCCCATGCAGGATCCAATACTCTGCTAAATCGACCGCCAGAGATCACTCTTTTCCTATAAAAACTCGCTGTTGTTTTATCCCAATGGCCGTAAATAATGGCCAAGCAGCCCCGTAAATAAAGATATTTTCTCTCTCTCTCTATCCCAATGGCCGGCTCAAACCTTTTGTACATTATGTAAATAAGTTATTCATGTTTTTAAATTCTTACGCCTTAAGCCGGGCAATACTTTTTACCAAATTATGTTCTTGTATATTCCTTTATCACAATAAAAGCAATTACTGATCAAAACCATTTTTATTATTAGACTTTATATTTTCAAGATTTAACCACGACTGCATTACATTACCATAATCCTCAACATGATCAAAAATCAAGCAGAAAAGAAAAACTCATTTGTTTTTTATAACATACATACAAGTTCCTATTCAAACACGAGCTCATCTATAGCCATTGTTACTCTGTGTAATATTCCAACACTTACAAAGTATAAAATTCGAAACTATTATAGAAGCGTATGATTCTTTTGATAATTAAACAATTTCTACTGCCCTTACTGTAATGGTAATGGAAAAATTAATGGGAGGGCCTGGCTAATCATACGCGTCTATAATAGTTTCGAATATTCATAACAGATGGCGCGCTAATGCATCATAATATAAAGTTTTTTTTTTGTTTATCCCTAGTACACGTAGTACAAGCCATGATAATCATGGTGGGTAGAAGTAGGCGACTGCATTTAAAGTATAAAATGTTGGAAAGGGATGGGTTATCAATGATCAGGGGGTTGGTGGAAGGATGATCTAAACCGTTGGTTTTCGACCGTTACAACCCGGGATCGAACCCCGCATAGGGCAACTTTTTTCTAATTGAAAAAAAGCTCCACTGACCCCTGATTATTGCAAAAGTTCTAATCCACCAGCGATTTCAAGTAACCAAGCACTGGCATACTTGCAAGTGAAATTTTGAAACTATTATAGACGCATTCACAACCGAGTTTAGTAAAAGACTTAGTACATATGGTTAACGAAACGATCAATATATCAA